AAATTAAGGGTATTAAAAAGTATTAAGCAGCATTTTCCAAGGTATTACATTTTGTAGCTTGTTTTCAATAAGTATATAAATTGTCCAAAGAGGTTGTATTCTACAGTCTGCCTGAATGTAATCATTGCGTAGGTGTGTAGTGTGATTCTGTGTAGTTTATTTATGGCATCCCGTTGGATTTGACATCATCTGAACAGGACATCGCGCGCTCACTGCTTGATAGCGCGTGAAGGTCAGTTTATGCCGGTTGTTAAACAACATCGTTATGGGGAAATGCAAGTCTGTGTCCAAATGGTTGGAAGATAAGGAGGAAGGACAATAGATACTGTATATAGTAAAGTGTGTCGCCAATGTAACCGGTTAGAACTCAAAGTGGCGATGAGGTCTTAAAATGTATGGAAAGGGTCTTAAAAAAGGTCTTAAAAGGTATTACATTTGACTTCAGGATTCCTGCATATACCCTGAATCGAGTTTCTTCTTTAGTTGGTGAACTCTTGGTAATGTTCACCTACAAAAAAATTCTAATTAAAGAGGACATCCTTTTTTAACTCTTATATTTCTTGTCACACAGATTCTGGAGTCGTCTGGGCCCTATGGGAAGGGTCAGAAACGTAAAGCCGGTCAGATGAATAAAGCCATCACTATTGGCAGCAATGCTATTCTCTACACCCAGCCTGCCTTCAGTGCAGGTAAAACATATCCCTACTAACCATCTGCAGTTACAGTTTGTGTGAATCATAATGGCACAAATAAACGTGTGCCTAAACAGCATTATTACTCATCCCCTGAAACAAGACTAGAGTCCAATCTCATTGTCTTTAATCCTTTGTATATCTGTCACTTGTTAAAACTTTGGAGCTCTTACCATTTTTTTGTTTGTATATACAAATAGTAGATATTTTTGTCATGTTTTTATTTTTCTTACTATGCGATTCACCAATACATCTAGCAAATAACTTGTGTGGGAAAAGCTTCTTGGTAATAAACTAGGTTTATAAATCTGTTTTGTCATACTTTTTTTGTGTGAGCACAACAGTGTCACACCTCAATAAGTCAGTGTTTAAATTCAAAGTGCAATTGCAATACTTTCAGGTGTTTACTTAATAAAGGTTTCTCTTTTTCTGCAGCCCCTTTAATGTCCGCTGCTGCCTACTGGGGCGTACCGGCTGTCCCTGCTCCATTGGTCCCTTGTGAACCTCCGGCCCCCCCCCTCCCTGCTCTACCTCCTCAGCCCCCACTGCCCCCCTCCCAGCCGCCCTCTGAACCTCCTGGAGCCAAAGCTCTGCCCACAGACAAGACCAAGAAAGTGAAAAAGGAAAAGGTTAGTACTGCAGTTAACATTTTACATGGAGGGCAGTAAATACAATTCCCCAATATTTTGAGGATTATCTTTTTCTATTGTTAACATTCTGTATTGGTTTTCTTTGCATGTAAAGTTTACACAGGCAAGCCATCCTTTCAATCCATTGCTTAAATATTACATACAAAACAACCAATTCTGTGATTTTTCTTACTATCTATAGACAAAAAAGAGTAAGATCAAAATGCCATCTCTGGTGAAGAAGTGGCAGAGCATCCAGAAAGAGTTGGATGAAGAAGAAAAGAGTAGCTCCAGTGACGAGGACAGAGATCAGCTGAACAAAAGGGGCATAGAGGACTGGAAGGTCCAGCAGCTCATGACGTAAGTTTATGTTTTAAATATACTTTTTTTTATAGTTGTGAAGATGTAGCTGAACTGTTCTATTGAGTTCTCCTTGTTTCTTTTGATATTTGACATGTTTCATCTTGCTAACTCTTCATTACCTGTGTTAATCCTACAGGGGAAAGCTTCTAAGAATGCCAACTTTGAGTCACTTCCAGATAACTGGCGGGACCGACTCAAGAAACGGAAGACGACGAATAAGACGTAACACCCACACTGGGTCATACACTGCCCATTCAGCCTTTCTCTTCTTTCTTTTTTTGTTTATCCACTACAACCATTACTTAAAGGTCATTCTACCCCATATTATGTTTTGTGAAATGATCTATTGACTTTCTTTATAATTTTTTCTTGTTTATGATGGAGACATTTAAAGGCCATTCTCCAGAGGGGTTTGAATGTCTTTGTCTTGGTTTGTAGTCACTATTGTAAACGTGCCAAAAGTTTTGAGTTCATCGAAAACAATTTTTTGTATAGACCCCACAAAGATGACCGCATTTTTTTTTGGAGGGATTGTCTATTTTATTGAGCATTTTTACAACTCTGTACATATGTATTATGGGAGAAGCCATGTTTTTGGAAGGGCAGGAGGGGTCACTGAACTTGTACATTTTGTAAAAAGTTAATAAACTGTTTTTCCAAGCCACTTGTTTTTCTTTGGCTTTCATGTGTTTTATTCCTGATCACAACTAGTTATTTTTTCATACTTTGTTTTTTAAAGTCCTGAATAAAAATGAATAGAACAATTGTGAATAACCTACATGGTGTTAATTAATGTCTTATAATAAACAGGATAACACTGTTTTCCTGCACCATAATACACTTCCATCCATAGAGAGATATATATTTTGAGGATTTGTGAGGAAGAGTTTCCTACCCATTGATTTGCGCCACTGCTTCTCGTCTCCATAGCAACAGCGGTGTTGTTGAGAGGACCTGTTGCATGGAAACATTGCGTACTTCTGGAAAGGCTTCCACTCCTGCTAGCCGCTATGCTTTCGCTCTTATCTTGTGTCTATAAAAGGAAGTTAAGCTTGTGTATTTGAAATGTAAGCTAGGTAAGTGTCTGCCACTCATTGATAACATTTCAGAGAGCTGAGATATGCTATCTATTGTTAATTGACGTAGCTAAAGAAAATGTTAGCAACTACAACATAATGTTTACGCGCGTGTCACTTCATGAGTGTGGAAGTGGCGACCAAGCATCTGTAGTTAACATGCGGAATTCATGCATACAAAAAACAGAAAGTAAGGTAGTAGCGTTCACGCCATGTAACGGGATAAGGAAGACTTTTATTCCGGCATTTTACTTTGAGCAGAAAGGCAACAGACGATGTGAGAAATCCACTCAGCATCTCTCATGTGAGTTTGATATCTCCGTGAATTCGCTCAAAAAGTTATGCTATTAAACAATTGTACACGTGCTTGCTGAAGTTATAGCCTACTGTACAGGGATTTATACGTTATCAACACATGTTTAATAGTTCAACTTCAGGAACTCATCAATATCAGCTTAAAAATGTCAGTCCATATTTTAACATTACTAAGTGGTAATTTAGCAACACATCCATCCTACTATTAGTTGGGTGGATGTGTTGTTAAATTGTGACCTACATTTAGTAGGCTTCTAAAGTTTTTACATCACAAGATGTCTGAAAAGCTTAATATAATGGATTTCTAGCATTTGTAAGAAGACTAAAATGTGTTATAGCTGACATTCTATGACACAATGCCATTTTGGCATTGGCTTCAAAACATCTCTATTGGTTCATGATAATATAATTCATATTTTTAATATCTATCTATCTCACACAGGAGATTGATAATAAAGTTGACTTTGACTCTGACATGCCTGTTTCGATGTAGTGGCCAGGACAATGTGTTCTTACTCAGTTTGGTAACTAATACATAGAACATTCATGACTTACATTTTTTCAATCTGGCAGAGAAAAGACCGACCATGGCCGTCTCTGCCATCAGGAATTGGTGGAATACCCACCAGTTGGACAAATCTGACACCAATGACTCCAACACAGAAGAAGACGAGGAGGAATTAGCAGGGAGGAGGCGGTGTAAGTTATTTTCATAAACTGTGCATTTGGATACATGCAATGTGCACTGGGTTTCCCTGTTAGAAAGGAGATGTTGTCAAACTTGTATTCATTGCATCCCGTCCCCAAGGCTAGATCATTATATATTAAACAAGCTCTTTCACGACTTGAGATAATGAAAGCATTCAGGTGGTGCATAATCCCTTCTTAAATGAACAAGCTTGTGTGGTCTAGGTGAGGTAAGGACCCATAGGGGCAGACCTAATGAAACATTTATGCCCATAGTGCACCACTGGCAGATAATGAGTGGAAAGACAAGTTAATTGAAGGTGTGATTCATGTCTCCTCTCAGTAACTATAAACTTAAGTCAGACTCTGCGGACCAGGCAGCTGCTCGTAGACTTTGATGGCGGCCGGCCTGTTTTGAGTCTCAGGGCACCGCTGGACCTGGTTAGCTTCCCATCCATCTCCTGCCCCCGGTGGCCCATAGAGTGTGAGGTCATCAGTGACATCATCCAACACATAGGTAATACAATATTTGATTGAAACCATTATGTTACTAGGCATGTTACATTGATAGAATGTAACCCGGAATATTTACCCAACCACAATTTCAAGGTAAGGGTACTTAAAGGGGGGTTTCACATTTCATTGTATGCAACTTAATACCACTACATCTCTAAGTCCAATGTGTCCATGTCCTTTTTACTCTGCGATATTTTCGCACAGCTTTAGTTACTTTTCATATTACATTTTTCCATTCCCTCCCTGTCCAGGGAAACCCATCCATCTCCAATTTGGTGATTAAGAATCTGAATGTTTCGGATGAACTGAAGGACTTTTAATAATAAGCCGTAATATGAAAACAACATAAACTATTAAATGAGTAAAACACTGAAAGGGAACATTTAGCTGCATTATAAATAATTGTTCATTGTATAGCTTTAAAACATTTCCGATTATACGATTAAACGTATCTTACTTTTGGTTTTGAATACAGAACCTTTACTCGTAATAGATTAATGTTCATCCAAAGTGCTATGACTTGTGTGCAGAATCATCTGGTACACATACCAGTCTTGGGTAAAAAAACTTTAAAAAATCAGGAAGTTAAACACAGTGTAAAACATGGCATGTCCTATTGCTGTTTGTGTTACACTTATTAACACCAAGGGAGTGTGTGTTGTAGAGTGGGACCCCCCAGAGCCAGAGCCTTTCTACAAGTCCACAGGTCATGAGAGGACCCCCATACCAGCAGGAGATGAGAGGGGCAAAATGGTGTACTGCATTGACCATGGTAACTAAGGCTTTTTTTTTACCACCAGGTTATATGGTGTGTTGTGTCGTCACAGTGTTGCCAACACTTAATGCTTAACACAGGAATAATGACAAAAAACCTAATTGAGTTACTTCGTTCTACCTATTCCCCTCGGAGAGTAGATGATCTGTAGATGAGGCCTTTTATGGCAAATAATGGAATACTTGTGACAACCTAATTCCTTAGTGCTTAAAGATTTGCATTGATATTACACTTTAAGTGCTATATAACAATCCCCAAGTGTTGTTTACAGTTTAATATGGGGAGAATTGTGTTGGGCCTTTACATAGCTTAAGTGTTTCTGCTCAGCAGTGTTACAAAAGGTTTATCCTTTATTAGTTACAGTGCAGGGACATGTGCAGTGTTACAGCAGGAAAAGGGATAGTGCAAATCAAAGAAGCATCAGTCAAATCTAATAAATAACCAAGTTAACAATATATATATATATAACTAAATATAGTAAGTAGAGAGACTGAACAGTTGTGTTATCGTAGATAATAACAGAGAAATCCCTTTCTGGATAAACAATGTAACCCTCTACTGCTCTCTGAAAAACAATGCAAGTCCATCCATGCTTTTGATATGAACTTTTTCTTTTTTTTCTTTCCCTTTAAAAAGCCACCAAGCGTCCCTTCTTCTCCTGCTCCCGTGTCGGAGGAAACAGGGGGCCCATTAAGAGCGCCACTTCATATGACAATCAGACAGACTTCACCCTTGAATTTGAGTCACGCTTTGAGAGTGGAAACCTCCAGAACGCGGTGCAAGTGTGAGTCTCCGCAGCTTCATCTACTGATTAGCAGCTTTTTAACCATTACTGTATTTGTAAGTTATTACTGTGGTTCTAGCTTAATTGACACTCTTTCTCTCTGTTCCCCCCCACATCTCTTCTTCTCTGTGCAGGGGAGTCTATGACTATGAGCTCACCCTGCGCACAGACTTGTACACCAGGAAGCACACGCAGTGGTTTTACTTCAGGGTCAGGAACATGAAGGCTGGAGTGCCATACCGCTTCACTATCGTCAACTTGATGAAGAGCAGCAGCCTGTATGTTCAGGGTATGAGACCACTCCTCTACTCAGAGAGGGCCGCCGAAGAGAAAGGTGTTGGATGGCAACGCACCGGCGCCAATATCAGATACTACCGCAACTGCCAGCAGGTAGGGGAAGTCAGTTTTAAAAATCAAAAAAGGCGTCAAGACTGGATTTTTATTTAATAAACCCATTCTCTACTTTTCCAGTAGCTGTGATTTCCGTTTATGAGTTAAGAATTAATATATTTTATTCAGCTTTTATGTTTTATTTAAAAAATATTATATTAATATTAATGAACTGCTCCTGTGGGTATTGTCCACAGTATTGAATGTATTACATGTCTGATAAGTAACATGAAATATAATGTAATGTTAAGCGTTTTGAGCAATTGGAAAAAGTGCTAAATAAATAGCATGAATTATTCGTATTAGCACCCACCTTTGATCCAGACATCCCACTTAGTGATTAAATATACATTCAGAACTTTGTATATCGTTTTTTGTACTTAGGATATGCATGTGCAAATGTTTGGCTCAAAAATGTACCTATAAGGGTCTGTGAAAGTAAATGTAGAAACCTCTTTTGTCTATCAAACATAACGCACATCAGAACAGAATGACTTCCCTCAATTGTAATTATTTCTGAAAAAGAGGGACCTTTCTTTAAAACCACCTTATCTCTCTCGTTTTAGAATACAAAGGACAACAACAGCGACACGCCCCCCCTGTTCTCACTCACCTGGACTCTCCAGTTCCCTTCTGACTCTGACACCTGCTACCTGGCCCACTGCTACCCCTACACCTACTCCCACCTGCAGCGCTACCTGAGGCGCGTCTCTTCCAACCCAGCCGTCGCGTCATACTGTTCACTGAGGGTGCTGTGCCACAGCCTCGCTGGGAATGCTGTGTATGTGGTGACGATAACGTCCCGGGCGGGCAGCAGGGTGGAGGGTAGGACTAAGAAGGCCGTGGTGGTGACGGCCCGAGTGCACCCTGGAGAAACCAACGGCTCCTGGATGATGGAGGGGTTCCTAGACTTCTTGCTCGGGGACTCAGAGGATGCTCAGCTACTCAGGGACACATTTGTTTTTAAAGTGAGGGACTTAAAGCTCCTTCCCTCACATCTCTCTTTTTATCATCATTATGACTTCAAAAAAAGACATGGCATCGTACATTGGAGAAATTAAAAGACTAGAAATAAACAATCCAAAATATAAACATCTCAAATAGAAATAAAATAGCATTAAAAAAGTAAAAAATATACATGTGGAAATACAAATGTACAGTAACAAAACATAAAGCAGATATTTTATATAATTGATATTAGGATGTTATAATTGATAAGTCTTGTGATTTGTTTAAATGCTGTAATGCTATCCAAATAGCTTTTTCCTCATTGTTTTTGTGGTGCTGCAGGTGGTGCCGATGCTGAACCCAGATGGTGTGATCGTGGGTAATTACCGCTGCTCTCTGGCAGGCAGGGACCTGAACAGAAACTACAAGACACTGCTCAGGGACTCCTTCCCCTGTGTGTGGCACACCCTAAACATGGTGGAAAGGTAGCACAGAACACATGCATGAACAAAACACATTTAAACACACACTCAGAGTTTATTGCCAGGCACGTTTACACATACAAGGCATTTGATTTGGTATCTGGTTGTGCGAACATAAACAATCTAAGAAAATAAGTTGCAATAGTAAGTAAAAGAAGTTTAGCATTAAAAAGGAATACTAAAGACAAGTATTTACAACACATTTAAATACACAAAGAACCTTAAAAGCTAATAAACAAAAACACTTAGGGCAATGAACATATGACAATATATGGCAAACTACAGTGGATTATATTTTCCTACATAGAAAACAACTTGTATTGCATGTAGATGTACAATGTGTTCTCATCAGTCTTTAGCTTTATGTCAAAGTCAAAGTCAACTTTAATGTCAATCTTACTCAGTTTGTGTTTACAGACAGAGAGATCGAAATGACGTTTCCAACAATCCCGAATGTAAAATTATACAGTATACAGATATGTATACAAATATGCATAAAATATGTATATCCTATATACACAATCAACCGACACATTTACACACATTAAGATAAAAAAAAACCACAACAATCAATATACAAAATAACAGTCACTTCAATATCAATATCTTTGGTGCAAGATTGTCCATAAAATGTGCATTTATTAAAGATTGTCCATAGCAGCGTAAAAAACAAACAATTTGACTGTCTGAGTGTGTGGGGAGTTATAGTCCAGTGGGGGCAGGGGGGAGAGAGGGGAGCCGGGAGAGAGAGGGGAGAGAGGGGAGAGAGGGGAGAGAGGGGAGCGAGTTCAGCCTACTGACAGCTTGGTGTAAAAAACTGTTCTTTAGTCGGGTGGTGCTCGACCTCAGGCTGCGGAACCTCCTCCCTGAAGGCAGGAGGGTGAAGAGGCAGTTGGAGGGATTGATGGGGTCACCAGCGATGCTGAGTGCTCTGCGGGTGAGGCGGGTGCTATAAATGTCCAGGAGTGATGGGAGTGAGGCACCGATGATCCTCTCAGCGGTGTTCACGACGCGCTGCAGGGTCTTGCGGTTCGATGCTGTGCAGCTTCCGAATCACACCGTGATGCAGCTGCTGAGGATGCTCTCGATGGCGCCTCGGTAGAAGGAGAGCATGATGGGTGGGGGGGAAGCTCCTGCTCTCTTCAGTTTGCGGACGAAGTAGAGGCGCTGCTGGGCTTTCTTGGTGATTGACGTGGTGTTGTTACTCCAGGAGAGGTCCTCTGTGATGTGCACCCCCAAGAATTAGGTGCTGCTCACCTGTTCCACAGCAGTACCACCGATGGTCAATGGGTGGGGGTGTTGGGTGTTGGGTGTAGGTTCTCCTGAAGTCGACAACAATCTCCTTTGTTTTCTCCACATTGAGAAAGAGATTGTTGTCTATGCACCACATGGCCAGCTGGTTCACCTCCCTCCTGTAGTGGGTTTCGTCGTCGTTGCTGATGAGACCCACCACGGTTGATGAAGTGGTTGGAGCTGTGGGTGGGTGTGCAGTTGTGGGTCAGCAGGGTGAAGAGCAGGGAGCTGAGCACACACCCTTGGGGGGCCCCCGTACTGAGTGTGATGGTGCCTGATGTGTTGTTGCCGACCCGTACAGATTGGGGTCTGGCAGTGAGGAAGTCCAGCAGCCAATTACAGAGAAAGGGGCTGAGAGGCCCAGGTTTGTTAGCTTGCAAACCAGCTGCTGGGGGATGATAGTGTTGAACGCTGAGCTAAAGTCTATGAACAGCATCCTAACATAAGAGTTTTTAGTGTCCAGGTGGGTGAGGGCTGGGTGAAGAGCAGAGGAGATGGCATCCTCAGTGGACTGTGCATGTTTATCCAGTAAATTGCTAAAAATGTGCACGTCGTATTTATAATGATTTGTTTTTAGGATACAACACATCATTCTTTAGCTGTTCTGCTTGTGTCAGCGAGCAGCCAGTTTGTGTTGAGTAGGGATCAAAATGTAATTCACTGCACGACTTGCAATGAACAGCGATTGTGGTATTTAGTCTGCATTTACTTGCTGACTTTATTGCATAAAGCAGTCCAGTTATAAAATGATATCACTGCATTCACTTTGACTGGATTGTATCTATACAAAAAGGGGCGTTTCCTTTATACTAGATCAAATATATCTGCTTCAGTTCATTGCTGTAAGGTTAAGAAACAGGAGGGATAGATGTAAAAGATAAGCAGTCTCATTCTAAATGACCCGCCTTTGATACATACAATGCATTAGTGTAGTTCTGTGAAATCAAACTTGGTTTTTTTATTAGAAAGAACAACATTTGTAAAGGCTTCCATCCAAACATGGCTCATCCTCTATTTGCATGTTTCCTACTTCTCTTATACAAGTTTCTATTTGGGATTCTGAAAACAAACCACAATGTATTCTGGCCCTTTCATGAATGATTCTCCCCCCCCCCCCCCCTCTCCCAGGCTGATGGCTGAGACGGATGTCGTTCTTTACTGTGACTTTCATGGACACAACCGTAAAAACAATGTCTTTATGTACGGATGTAACAACCGAGGTGACGCCTCGCTGAAGCTTCATGAGAGACTCTTCCCACTGATGATGAGCAAGAATGCCGGTGATAAGGTTAGGAACTGTTTTTCAAAAACTCTTTGTAACATATATGTAGTCCGAGTCACATTGGGCTTGTATTTATATCATGACACCATGGTTATTATTAGTATAAATAAAAACTATAACGTCAGTTTATCTCTTTAACATCTTGATCACTCTTTTCATCAGTTCTCTTTTAAGAGTTGTAAGTTTCGGGTTCAGAAGAGCAAAGAGGGAACCGGACGAATCGCCATGTGGAGACTCGGCATCAAAAACAGCTACACCATGGAGGCCACCTTCGGAGGCTCCACTCTGGGTGAGTTTAGACTTTCCAAGTGTGAGTGTGAGTGTGAGTGTGTGTGTGTGTGTATTTTCCCATGTATCTTGTATTTGGATCTTTCATGTGTTTTAATGTTAGGCGACAGGAGAGGAACACATTTTACTACTCAAGACCTGAAGTCCCTCGGCTTCTACTTTTGTGACACCCTGCTGGACTACTGTGACCCGGATCCAACAAAGGTGAGGGATAAAGCAGCATGTCCACAGCTTAGAAATGATGTTAGACTCCTCTGTGTAGTCAAACAACATGATGCTTCAAAATATACCTAGATACTGTTTTTCAAAGCTGGAATGTTGTATCTATGTGACCGGTTGGTCCCAGCACTTAAGCTTAGGTTGCCCCTAAGTCTTTAAGGATGCCTTCGAAAAAAAATGAGTTGCATAAAATCCCTTTCATCCTTTGCCTTAGCTACTTAAGTAGTTTATGCAACCAGGCACTGCTTTTTAAATGTGACCATTGTGTGTGTGTGTGTGTAGCTGTCTTTTGTGTTATCCCTGTGCTTTTTTTTCAGATCACTTACTGTCTGTCAGAGCTGGCAGTGTTGTTTAGGAAGCAGCTCAGCAAGAGGCTGGGCAAAGATCTGGGCACTGAATGTAACTTTTCTGTGTCTGACCTGGAAAGCAGGTGATATAGTCTTTTTTTAAATAAAATATGCATAACTTAGACAAAATATGATATGTATAAATGTGCTCTCAATCAGCTTAATAAGACTGTTATTTGTTTGCTTTCACAGCACCAGTGGTTCAAATAGTTCTGATTCCGACGGACTCCCAGCTCATTTGATGAACGATACAGAGGTTCGCTGACATAAATCTACTCTTCCATGAAGTATTGTTTTATACAGTTGTTTATTGTCCTTGTAAAGCTTGTATTACATTTGGATCCCTTTGTGAAATGGGCCTTGAATCATGTTCTTCTCTTGTTTTACTTTACCTCATGCTGCTTCTCTATTCCTCAGCAGACTCCAGTGAAGAAGAAAAATAAACGCTTGAGGAGTTGTAAAGAGAGGAACAGGCTGCGACCAGAGGAAGGGAGGAGTAAAGAACAGCCCAAAGTTCTGCAACGCAGCACAACCAATATTGTAAGTATACTAATATTGTGATATACTAAATAATGCATTATTTATTTCACACTTTAGTCTGGTTAACAAGACTAACGGTCTTTGCAGGGTTCCAACCTGTCACAAGAGGGCACTGTTAAAAAGGAGAGGCCTGTTGGAAGACACAGGAAAACATGGCAGGTATGAAGCAGGTCAATATCACTACAACGGAAATAATAATTAAAGGCAGTGAAACAATGTTGGTTTAACAGAAACTAAACTAAGAGAGCTAAAACTAAATTGAATAAATATTGACTGTTTAAATGTTTTGGGAAAAATCATTAAAATGAACTTTAATTCATTTCCATATTTTTTTAGCTCTATTATATTACTACTACTGATAAACAGCAACTCGACTTTTGCATGCAGAAAAACAACTTTAAAAATACTTAAATATTCTAGTAAGATCAAATGACATTTAACCAAGCTTGTTTAGCTCAACTGGGGTCTGAATGGAGATACAGGTGACTAGTTCCAAAGATTTCAACATTATAATCCTTCCTACACAGTTACAAACTGTAGCTTCATACTTCTGAGACATTATACCTAGCCCTTACAGGACAAATAAATATACAAAAACTAAATCTTTCTGAAATCTGATCGTATTCTGAAAATGACCTAATGATTACATCGCAAAGTCGCAACTATTACAACCTTTGTTTGAAGAGTTTGATACGTTTAGGAGACAGAGCCAGCCAGACAGTGAAGGGAATATAGAAGATTTTCATAGCCGTCCCTATCTAATATTTTTTTCTTTTGGAAGGTGAATGGCCTGATAAAGAAAGCTGTGATCCCGTCTCACTCCACCCACCCAGGGGAGGTCAGTCATGTGACTCTGTGGCAGGGCAGCGAGCCTGTCAAGGTAAAGAGCCTCTCATACCCTCTTCAAGTATTGTCAGTATTTCACAATCTGTCATTTTCCCCTGGATTTTGCTACATTTCTGTGTTTTAGGAGTGTGGAAACATGACATCTGCATACTTGAGCGTAAAAGAATGTCCACATCTCAGCACATACAGAACTGTGGCCACTAACGCAGGTAATGCGCCCTCTGCGTCTAATTCTCCATTACATCCATTTAGTGCCTTATTTTTTAGTTATGGTTTACTCGTTGGTACCGACTCATAAAGTGCATTTAAACACTTTTTAAACATTATCTTGTGTAGTTTCCCCCCCCCCCCCAATTAGACATTAGGGTATAAATGTCCCCTTTGAAACCCGAGTGAGCCTTTTTCTCACATTTGTCCTGTGGGTCCAACACATGCTAACTTCCTAATTTCCCCAAAGGTTATGCTGCTATATTTGTGTTTTATTTTTCAAATTCAATGTTGTTTCTTATCACTAACATAGTATACAGACTGTGAAATCAAACAAAAATCTCTCCCAAGCATTTGGTATGCAGAAAATAATCCAATGAAAAACAATGCATTATCTATAAACTGATATTAGATATTCTAAATTCTAAAAATGCATGATAATGTAATGATCGGGACTGATTTTTGTTCAAATGAAAAGATAAGGAGAGAATATTATTATTGATGGCAGTTGTTCTCCTCTAAGTACATCAGAGCATGGGGAAAGTATTGTGTAGCAGTCTGCTGTATATTTGACTATAGATGACCTGTCTACAGGACAGTGGAGATGCTCCTCTCAGCTGCTGCACCTGAGTGCCGTCCTTCCTCAGTCTCCAAATTTCCTGCCTCCCAACAACCGACAGAATCGCTGCCCCCGACAATCCTTGGTCCCCTATAATGTCTACAGAGGTGTGTCCGCATGCAGAGTAGATCTAGAACTGAATTCAATTAAAAAAGCTTCATCATCTCTCAGTCATTCAACTCAAAGTGTAGCTCTTTTGCACTGAAACTTGTCTCCTTCTTTCAGGTTTGCCACCTTCCCTTACAGCGCCCGACAGGTGAGCCTTATAGAAACGTTATGTATCCTCATCAATATGCAGATAACTACAGTATATGTTGAGGTACGTTCAGATTCATAAAGTGTTGTCTCTCTTCTCTCACAGGGCTTCCATGTACCTCAAGATGGTTCCAGACATTGTTCCAACCAAACGCTTGCTGTCAAATTTCCCAGGTGACACTCTGCATGCTTTCCGAGACAGAAACTCAGAAAGTTCCTTTGTGCCTGAGGATTCCTTCCTCTCACACGCAGACACAACACACACCAAGCGGCAGAGCGAGGAAGAAGAAGAAGATTCCCCAGAAGGTTTCATATGCACATATATTGTTCTAGTTTCTGAAATTATTTTGAAACTTTCTTGTGAATATAGTGTCATGCAAAAGGTGTTTATTCAATCTTTTGGACAAAAATATAGTTTTTTTTTTCATTCATAAGTTAGCTGATCTCCTGTCTTGATTATCTGATCTTGTCCTTTCTTCAGTAGGTTTCTCACTGATGAGATGTTTACCCCTGGGAGAACGGAAGCAGAGAGAAACTGAATCGTGCAGCAGATTATTTGTGCCTTTTCTGAGAGACACAGACCTGAGAGGGAAAAGGTAAATTCACTTTGAACCTTCTTGGGCTCTCTTTTTCTCTCTGTCTTTGTCTGTCATTAGCTCATTTTGTTAAATACTCCGGTTGCCATTGCAGTTAAGATATCAGGAAATAAGCACTGGTGTTTGTGCAATGGTTATATGACTACAGTTTACAATGTTTAAAACTTGTTCTTTTATCTTTTTCAATATCCTCAGATACTGCAAAGAGACCGTGGAGGACAAGAGGCACCTGGGTGTTTTATCCCCTGCTTCAAAGCCTTCAGGCCTCATGCAGATGGAGCCTAAGCGTCCACAGAGTGACTCCCTCCGTAGTTTTCAGACTAATAAGGACATCAGGCACTATCACTCTGACAGAGAGAGCCAGATAAGAAAGACAATGATGACACTGTCCCCACATTCTGCCTCACTGTAGGGCGGGATATTTATACATTTGGAACTACAGATTACATTTTTTCATTAATTCAACAGACGAAAATACTGTGTTATATGTTTATGACCTCCTTCACACAGATATCATAATGCAAGTTAAACTACTAATTTTGCATTCATATGGCAACCTTTGTTCAATGATGGTTACACAATGCTAGACTTGTGTCTACCATACGTTGCATTAGTTACCTAATAAATGATACACAGGCTGTGTGTTTTAAACGATTCATTTATTGCAAAGCTACAAAAAAAAACAATACAATTAATGTGGGTACAATATAAAAATAAATACGTTCACGTTCTCTTTGATACTCAATTGAGGTGAGAAATGTTACCATGTACGACATGTAATACCAAAAAAGGCACATTCCTTTTTTGTTGTCTGAGTCTGGGAGGTGCGCAGTACAGATGTGTGGTAGACACACAGCTTCAGAATTCAGTCAAACTGTCGGAGATGAAACTGCCCCTCTGTGTGTCTGACCAGGTCCCGCAGCGCCACGAACCCAAAGAGGGCCTGAATCATTCAGGAATAAATTAAACATTATATACAAATTAAACCAGTGACAATCAACCAACGCCAAATATAGAAAACATGCTCAACATAACATACATTTAAGTATAGACAAAAATACTTGAAGTCAGTTTTTAAAAGGAATGCTATGGTACCTGTGTGAGTATGAATATGGCGAGAACTATGTGAACCCCCCTCTCCAAGGGTTGAATGAGAATGGCTTCATTGAAGAGCTGAAAGAGGATTAGTGGGAACTGCAGCAGGATGCTCAGCAGCCAAAAACCAGCCAGCTCCGGGACCTTTCAAACATACACGTTACATTAATCCCTGTCTGTTGGGTTACATTACATTATGTTATTTGGCAGCCGCTTTTATCCAAAGTGTAGCATATCCCTCCGAAATATGGTCGTAGACTTTACTGATGATTTAGAATTGATTGAAACTCCAGAATCAACGTAAGAGCTTGTGCCTCTTCGGGGGGTGCTAACATTTAAACATACACTTTATTCTTTACTTTCTCTGTCTTTATATGTAGAAGATATTTCTTTTCTCCGGCATGTTGTTTCCATAGCAACAACAAATTCCTGTCAACAGCGTAAACTCGCCTTGAAAATAAAAGTATCTAAATAAAACAGGAAGTTAACCTAAATTACATTTAAGACATACAACTGCAACGAAAGTAACAAAAACAATATAATATCCTTTTCACAGAACACAAATTGGGTTATTTACACAAAGAGACTCACAACATGTCAATACCATAGACATGCCTGTGGGTGAGTGTTGACCCATTTTCCCTCCAACTGTAACTTTACATTTGTGTGAGTGATGCACCACCTTTTCTTGCAGGTTCCCAGCATAGCCGAGAAAGAGTCTAATGGCCTCGATCAGAGTCATCACGATGAGAACTGTGACGAGGATGAACTTGTAGTAGTCTGGCAAGGCAGGGTACTGGTAGAAATGACAAATACAACAATGCAGTTAAGTAAACTGAATTTAAGTTAAAGACATTATTGTAAGTGACTTTTATGAAATTAGGAAATAGTCTGACTTGTTTACAGTTAACTTAAAATGAATTCCTGTAAAAACAACAAATGACCGCCTGAATTTGACAACAATAAGGCACACGAATCAGCCTTTGGGGATCATTTGTTCACTTGGCTGCTACCTCAATATTTTACCTCAAGCTTTTTTTGGTCACTGATACTTTTCTCCTGGGAAGTACTACGTTTTGCGTCAAAGGTATTTAAAAAATAATGCATATTACAAGGATTAATTGTCTGTCGATCATACAGAAGTGGTGATACACATCCATCTGCTTGGTGAGCTTATAGTGTTACTTGAACTGACTTTTAGAAGAGGATGTCATGCAGTCTGACAATGTGAAATTACTACTGATGGCCAAACCGTTATTAAATTGAGTCTGGGAATTTAATGAGTTCCTCCTTAAATAGACTATTATTTGAATCATATTGGCGACCCCAATTATCACGCATTTACACAACTTGATCATTTAACAATTAAAGTTTATAAATGATAACATTTGTCTTTCCCATTAGCCCAATGTCTTCACCCCCTCTATTTTACTCACCTCCAACCTCACTTTCTTTTCTTTTTTTTAATCCTTAAATCTTTTTCAAATCATTTTATTTGGTAGTCCATTACAGTCTTTTTTTCTATGTAGATAATGTAGATAAATGTTATCAAATCAGCAAAACATAATTTATAGTAAGGACCATGTCCGGCCCATCCTCTTTTTCTTCTCCACATAGAGATATCATCAAACCAGAGAGAATTTCTCGATATGGCAGCAGAATTTTCTTTAATAAAGACTTGATTTGTCATTTTAAATGTTATATCAAGGTCTATATTTTTCATATTCCTTACTTTTAAATAACAAATCACGTTTAGTGACCTCCCCAGTTGTTCCCCACAACAAATGTACACAGTGCTTGTTTATTTATGTATTTATTTATGTATTTATTTATTTGGGTGTGTGGGGGGAACAAGATGATTTCGTTTTACAATTAACCTGACTTTATCTCTGCATGGCTTACCTTGAGTTGCAGCATTACAGTTTCACTGATCCACCACAGGGGGAAGAACCACATGTTAAAGTACAGAGACATCTGGAGGTGGAGACTAGACAGAACCTTCTTGCCTGAAAAACAAAACAAAGAAACATGGATAACATACCCAACCCATATTAAGCAGCAGCTACTGTAAAACTACGCGAGAGACATAGCTCAATCCAGGCTGTTATTTGTAAGCTAACATCAATGCTAATGTGTATTTAGCTGGGTTTACCGTGTGGCAGAAACGTGTCATTCTCTCTCGCGACAGACCGAGACCGACTCTGGTCGAACAACACATTCCGAGAGAAGTCTTCTAAACGTTTTCTGATGGTCTCCGACAGGTCCATGGTGTAAAATGTTTTCTGCTAAGCCCAAACATGACCAGAGGGAAAACACACCGCCCCTTCCTCAACACAACGCTGCCGTCGTCTCCTTGGATACCAGAGAAATCTCGCGTTCCGCTCAAATCTCGCATGAAAACCGTCTTCTCGTTCCCCTCAGTGTTTGATAAAGAGTTCCCCCTGTTCCTCAGTTTCCTCAGTTGTGTCCTTGTTTAGTCCCTTAAAATACACAATGTATCGCAAAGACAGCTGTTTAAATGTTCTAAAGCGATTAACTTTATATATAGCCATACAGCATAACAAAATCATCACACTTTCGCCCAGGAGTTTAACAACACATTTCGTGACTAACACGAAATACCGTGAAACTGGGTTGTAGTATGTTTGGCTGCAATGCTTACAAATCAAATATCTATGTACATTTTATCGCCAGGTTTCCCCATGATATTGGACTGATCATTTAGTCAATATCAATTCAGATTGATTGATACTTGCACCCCTATTAGAGGTAGGAGGGGTTCACTTGGTCATTATTTTTTAAATATAGTGTTACAATTTGACAACCCACTTTAAGCAACAACTAGTGTAAAACTAAGTCAAGACAGTGATGCTCATGGGTTTTCAATCTGGTGAGTTCCCTGTAGCTGTAGCCTACACACAGGTGTTCATTTCAAGGGTAGGCCTATCCCCTCGATTTTTTTTTAACAAATCTAGTCTAGGAATCAAAAATCCCCATTTCACAATCAGTAAAACTGATTTAAAGTAAAACAACGTTTATTTCATGATTGCGAAAGTTACACAAGTCACTCACTCCCACACCTATCTGATTTCCGAGAAAACGAAAGTGAACAGAGCTGTAATAAAGATGGAAGAGTGCTGCACGGAGCCAGATCCGTTATCCTGCTCGATATGCTTCGACAGATTGAAAAGCCCTGTGACTCTTCACTGTGGCCACAGCTACTGTATGGACTGCGTGAACGGATACTGGGACCAGGAGAACCACCGCGGGGTTTACAGCTGTCCCCAGTGCAGACGCACTTTCAGGCGCAGACCTGTGCTGAACAAAAACACAGTGCTGGCTGATCTGGCAGAGAAAGTGTCAGGGCCTGAACCACCCACCCGGCCTGCTGTGAAGGATGAAGTGGGCCCGGGGGATGTGGAGTGTGATTTCTGCACTGTGAGGAAGCTGAAAGCTGTCAAGTCTTGCCTGGTGTGTCTGGCTTCTTACTGTGCTACTCACTTGGAGCCCCACTATGTGTCTGAGGCTTTCAAAAGGCACACGCTGGTGGAAATCACTTCTTCCATGCAAGAGAAGATCTGCTCCAAGCATGACAAGCTGCTGGAAGTCTACTGTCGCAGTGACGGCCAATGCATTTGCCTGCTGTGTGTGATGGATGAACACAAAGGTCATGACACGGTCTCCGCTGCAGCAGAGAGGAAAGACAAACAAGTAAGAATAATTATATTGGCCACACGATTGCATATTCTACATTTCAAAGTAATATTGTAAAGTATATTTTGTTTTCAGAAAGAATTTGGAAAGAAAAAATTAACATATCTGAAAGGAATACAGAAGAAAGAGAAGCAGCTTCAGCAGCTAAAACAAAAAATTAAAGCACTTCAGGTGAGTTATGTTGTATTTTCTATTAAAAGCAAAAAACAAAAGAAAGAGTTTGGTGGCCTTATAATGTGGCACGAAGTCATGGGAGTTGTAGTCTTCATCATCATTGCGGTTATCATCTCCTGGATTGGATTCCTTTATTGTTCTTCAGTGAGGAGTTTTTTTTTTTACCAGGACTCCTCTCCAAAATAAACTATAAAGTAGTTTCACAATACATGCTTAAAGGGGATATGAAACAGACCGTTATCTTGATTTAAAGAATACAGGTCTTTGCTTGGTTTGAATATTGTTGGAAACATTTCTATAAAGTAAGCACACAACAAAAAATACTCTAGCCCTTTTTTCCACATTATACTTCAAAATACCTGACATTATTTGTATTTGGTTTCCCTACCAGTGTTCAGGAGATGCGGCGGTTGATCAAAATGAGAAAGCCTACGCTGAAATGGTCCGGATGGCGGATGAGAGGCGCTGTGCCACTAAAGATCTGATCAGAGTTCAGCAGAAGGCTGCGGTGAGCCGAGCCGAGGTGCTCGTGGACCGTCTGGAGAAGGACATCTCTGAGCTGAGAAAGGGACAGGATGACCTCAAACAGCTGTCACTCACTGAGGATCACATTCATTTCCTGCAGGTAGTATCCTCCTTAATGCACTATTATATTATCTTTCATTTGAATTTATTTTCTATTCTATGTCTATTCTATGCTTATTTTATGTCTATGTTTATGTCTTTTATCGGTAACTGTGTTCTATGAGATGTCAATCCTCTACTGTGAAGCACATTGGACTGCAATTATTATATGAAAGGTGCTATACAATTAAAGCTTATGATTATTATAATTATAATTATTATTGTTTTCATGTTTTTCTAGAGCTGCCAGGCCATCTTTGACTGTCCGGAAGCTGACCTGTCCTCTGATGTTGACATCGAACAACAAACCCCTTTTGACTTTGTCAAAAGGGCTATATCTGATTTGAGAGACAGAATGGAAAATGTTTCCATAGCTATTGCAGAAATATCTCAGACAAGTAAGAAGATATTTCCTTTAAAAATGTATTTACTGGAACGATGAGATAATGTTTAATAGCCAGTTTATTAAATGTTCTACTGTCATGTTTTTTACGTTTAGTTCAAGCTGATCCTGACCCTGAGACAAGACAGGAGTTCTCCCTTTGTGAGTCCTGGCATTTTTCACATCAACTGCTGTGCCTTCCTTACAAGTTATAATAAACACACTGAATTATATTAACTTCTACATTTCAGATTCCAGCAGCCTCAGTTTGGATCCCAACACAGCATTTGAAAACCTTTTGCTCTCTGAGGGAAACCGCAAAGTAACCTGGATTAAAAAAGCTCAGAGGTATCCCTTGCACCCAGAGAGGTTTACCCTATATGATCAGGTGTTGTGCACTGAAGGCTTATCTGGAGTCTGCTACTGGGAGGTTGAGTGGCGGGGGAGCAGGGTTGAGGTCGCTGTGTGCTACAAAGGGGCAGATTCGGATGAAAGTGGCTTTGGGGGTATAGCAAGTCACTCCTGGTGCATTTCCCTTTCAAATGTTGGTTGCGCCTATTGGCACGGTGGAATCAAAACCAAAATACCCATTAACTGCTCCTCTACTGTGGGTGTGTATCTGAACCACAAGGCAGGGACCCTGTCCTTCTACAGCGTGTCTGACTGTGGGGAAATGACGCTCCTTCACAGAGTCAGCACCACATTCTCCCAGCCTCTGTACCCCGGCCTCATGGTCTCCAGAAGGGCCTCAGCTAGGATAGTGTGTGCAAAATAAATCCACTGCCAAGGTGTGCTCGAGGGAAGTAAGGCAGTATGTTCATTCTGCGTTTGTATTAAAGACGAGTGCTACAAATATGTTAATTTCAATGATATATTGTCTGTAGCTTATTATGATTCTATTCTTTATTATGGTTTTTTCTAGAAAAAAAAGGGTGAAGATAATGATGAGACAGATGTGAGGTTTTGGTGTGTATCATGTTTCTCATCCTGTAATGGAAATTGTAAACTCATCATGCATGTGCATGTTAAGTTATTAAGTAGAACAACTCTATGTAAATGTAATAGATACTCAAACTCCTCTTGCTTTGTCATGCGTTTAATGTTTATAATCAATAAAAAATATGTTTCAGAGAAATGCTTCATTTTATTCTAACAAATAATGTTAAAACATAGTTTCAATAAAAAAAGCTATTTTACAATATGAAAATTCATTGTGTCAAAAAGTTTAGTTTTGTCAAGACATTTCATTTTTATGGCAACATTTGTATGTAGGCCATTTATATAGTATGTAAGTAAAGTTGTACTACAAGCAGATAAGTACATAGAGATTTAAACAAGAAACATAATTGTAGGTGATTCATTTATTCTTAAATGATTTTGTTTGTAAAAATTCAATCTTTTATCATATGCTCAGGGGCTAAGAGTATGTCTTTTTTTCAGATTCCTTTAAAAAATACTATACAGACAATGGAAGTTTTTCACATAAATACAGTGTTGTTAAACTAGGGCTAAAATATCCACCCCTTCATTCTTTGAATAGAAGTATAAAGTATGATAACATTGAGAAAAAGGCCACTCAAGTAAAGTACGAGTAGACTTGTGAGACCTCTTTGACAGTAAGGTTATGTACTGTAGGTTACTGCTCTCACACTGACACTCCCACAGAACAGTCAGTGAGAACACTCCAATAGTATCTAGCTGCCAACAACAAGCCACTCCTCCTTTCCAGGGAAAGTGAAACTGTGAGCAGCACAAAATGGCCTACAGTGAGGATTTGTTCGACTGCTCTATCTGTTTACAGCTACTGGAGGATCCTGTGACGACGTCCTGTGGACACAGTTACTGTATGAAATGCATCAATAACTTCTGGGATGGACATAATGACAGAGGGAAGAGCTACAGCTGCCCTCAGTGCAGGCAGACGTTCTGCCCCAGGCCTGATCTGAAGAGGAACACACTCCTGGCTGCCCTGCTGGAGGAGCACAGGAAGACACACAGTGAAGACGCTGATAATAGCACTCATGCTGCTCCTGGTGATGTTCAGTGTGACGCCTGCACAGGGAGAAAAAGAAAAGCGTGCATGTTCTGTCTTGTGTGTTTGGCCTCTTACTGTAAGACTCATCTGAAGCCTCACTTTGAGGTGCCCCCCTTAAAAAAACACAATCTGATCAAAGCCTCTGCATGGATCAAAGACAGAATCTGTGGCCGTCATGACAAACTTCTGGAGATTTACTGCCGCACGGATCAGCAGTTCATCTGCTTGCTGTGTACCATGGATGAGCACAAAGGACATGACACTGTGGCAGTGTCAGCAGAAAAGTGTCAAATGCAGGTAATTCAGTCCAGCCACATGCCGGAGTCATTTGTAGGCCAGACTGTTATATAGTCACTGATCATCTCAAAATGTTTGTGTTTCAACAGAGACAACTGGGGCAGACCAAACTGAAAATAGCAGACAGACTGCTGCACTCAGAGAGTAAAATAATGGAGCTGAGGCAGGCTGCAGGCTCTATAAGAGTGAGTTTAACATTTACCTTTTCTGTTATTCATCAACACATTTCAAAGTATTCAAAGTGCCTCATATGCTGACAAAAAAGATCCCCTAAAAAAGAGGAAAGGGGCGTGGATGTTAACTGTGTAAGGCAATAGTTGCTATCCGGCAGGGGACTTTCCAGTGTCTCTGAAAACATTCAGCCTCTGACACACTGAACATAACATTTTATAATATGAATGAATGCTTCATGTTCTATGTATCTGAACAGAGTACTTTGTGAGTCTTGAAGTTTTGATTGAATAAAAGGTAGACTTTTTCTTTCTTTAAAGGGAAGAAAGTGCATGCAGACTATATCCAGACACTGACAGGAATATTGTTAATGGCTGGAGTAATCTTGAACAGTGATTCCTAACCTTTTTGGCTTGTGACCTCTTAAATCACACAAGCTTGTGTTCTTGTTGCTGTCATTACAACTTTAAATCATGGTCTCTAGAGCACATGTGTCAAACTCAAGGCCTGGGGGCCAAATCAGGCCCTTGGTGGATTTAATTTCGGCCCGCAGGATAATTTTGAATTACTATTAGATCTGGCCCGCTGGTATATTGCACGCACACCTTCACTCAATCCTGAAGATTTCCTCAGCTCAGAGCCTGACCCCAAACATTGATGAACTTGCACCCAAGATGAGATGCCAAGTATCTGGCTTGAACTAGCACCACAGAGCAGCACACTGAGTTTACATGGATGTTTCCTTCTGCACTTTTTCTCTCACGACAACAGGGCATGTTTGGTTTTTTCTTTGAGGGAAATAGTTTTTTTGAAGCTGTTGTTGGCCTGTGGAAAAATGTAATCATAAGAAATGACTCCGGAAAAGCTGCAGATAGAGCCATAAGAAATGACTCTGCAGATAGAGCCATAAGAAATGACTGCAGATAGAGCCATAAGAAATGAATGCAACTGATTATTTAATGTTTAATGTTGTTTTTATAGGCAATAATTTAAGCTTTGTTAGTTCCAGGTTTAATATGTGCAATAAGTTAATTTCAATAAGTTCTGCAATAAACATTGAACCAGTCCGGCCCTCGAGTACCGATTTTTTTATTTTGGCCCACTGTGTATTTGAGTTTGACACCCCTGGTCTAGAGTAGTGAGGCAACAAATGCACGAAACATACAGATCTTTATTCCATGCACGCAAAGTGTTAAGTGAGTATATCCTTTAGTGAGTGACATACAGCCTTTTAAAATAGTACACCAAAGAGATCATCAAAAATACATACATGTAATAAAACACATTATTGAGCCAGATACCTTATGTCCCACACTAAACTGAGGGAATCTACACAAACGGATAACCTGGTGACTATACGGGTCAACCTTATCGTTATCCTGACACCATCCAGATCCTGCCTCCACTTTCTATCTGCAGTTTTTATAAATGCCTTTCTTCTTTATACTTGAGACATCTGTTTCTTAAAGACCACAAAACTAAAACATTACATTTCATTAATACCACAGTTTCCATGACATTGCACATGAGATGAAGTAATGATTTTGAATAGAATGTATGAATGAATGTCAAAATGTTTTGCAAATATTTCACTTATTTTAAATAATTGTGGGAAAAATAAACCAATAAATAAAAAAAATAAATAAAGAAATGTTGCAGAATAACTAAAGGAAGTGTAAAGTATGGTCAAATCCCCCATTTCACCAGCCATTACACAAATGGTGCATGTTTCCGTTACCAGGATGCTGCATGGGAGGCGTGTGATGACCTTGAGCGGCTGTGTGCGGAACACATCTGTACTTTGGTCCGTTCTGTGGAGAGGAAGCGCTCTGTGATGAGAGAGAGAGTTGGAGAGGCAGAGAAATCAGGAGTGGACTGGACCAACATCCGTGTCGGACAACTGGAGCGTGAAGTGTCCGAGCTGAGGAACAGAGAGGATAGACTCAACCAGCTTTCACTAACAGAGGACCCCATTCAGTTTGTGCAGGTGAGGATGTGTTTTGAGACCATACAAGACTTTCTATTTCATTTTTGCAGATAGTCACACACTTTATTTGTTGGCCCTCTGCAGGGTTTCAAGGCCCTTGGTGACCTCCCTGTGTTCGCAGACTCAAGTCCTAACACATTGACAGATTTCATCTCTGGACAGACAAAAAAACTGAAAAATCTGTGCAACAAAGAAAAGATAGAATTATTGCGTGATCCGGAAAAAGATCTGTGTAAGTGAATCTCAAAATTCATCTGGTTTGTTTATTTTCTGTTAGTGTATCAACAAAATGACCAGTTTCCTTTTCACAGTGTGGAAACGACCAACGATTCATGAGAAAACAATATCAAGGATGTATCTTTTGACCAAATATCAGGGTAAGGTTGATGTTCATTCACAAATTTCAGTACAAACATACCTGAACATCTTTAACAGTGTTTCATCTTTCCCAGGACACACCACCATGGAGGTGGACCCCAACACAGTAGCTGCATGTCTTCATTTGTCAGACAGAAACAGAGAGATATCATGGAGCGACCGGGACCAGGCTCACCCTGATCATGCAGACAGATTCTCCTACTATCACCAGGCTCTGTGCAAAAACAGCCTTCAGTACAGCCACTACTGGGAGGTGGAGTGGGATGGGGGCATTGTGGATTTGGCTGTGTCGTACAGAAGCATTGAAAGAAATGGTTCGGGCAACAGTTGCTGTTTCGGCCACAACGAGCTGTCTTGGAAATTAACCTGCTCGTTGTCCGGTTGCACATTTTGGCACAATAATCTTCACAAAGGCCAGATTCCTCCGGTTCTCTCCCGCAGAGTGGGCATACATCTTGATTTTGAAGCAGGAACTCTGGGCTTCTACAGTGTTTCTGACTCGGGCAGTTTCTCACAGCTGCACCACGTCCAGACCATTTTCACCGAGCCTCTGTATCCTGGGTTTTCCGTGGATTTGGGTGCGACACTTAAAATATGCAAACTCGAAGCCACAATTAAAGCCGCAGGACCCCCTGTCATTTAAAGAAACCAAATGCCTCAGGGAAACCAGAGATGTTGCAGTTTACATCCATGTCTGTCCAAAATGTCATCATTTTATAATTTCTTCCAAGCCATTTGTGCTTAATTTCAAAATAAGCATTTAAATTAGCTGTGGCTCAGTGGGTAGTGTGATGGACTTCGAATCAGGGGATAGCAAGTTCGAGTCCCACTGCAGTCAGCATGTCGTTGTGTCCCTGGGCAAGACACTTCACCCCAAATTGATCCTGTGGGGATTGTCCACAGTACTCAATGTATGTAAGTCGCTTTGGATAAAAGCGTCTAACAAATGACATGTAATGTAAATGATTGAGATGGACAGAAAACCCTAAAAATAAATATGTACAAAATTAGGAATAATATTCACATAATGGATATATGTACCGAGAATTCTGGAAACGAATAAATAGTTGAAAATATATCTTTTAGTTAAGCTATTTGTTCTCTAAAATGCCTCTATATAGCACATCAAAATACTTTTTTATATAACTTCTATACTTTGAATAATTTTATATTTGAGCTCATTTTCAAAGTGGGCTTATTCAAAAGATGGTGTCTCAGTATTTTGCAGGCTGATTTGATATTATAAAAAATACTTGCAACAATCACTCTGTTGTGTCTTGCGCTAGGGTTTAATAATGGGAAAAAGGCCACCAATGGTTTATGGAGTTTAAATCCTTGATTATTGTAAATACTGCTATGCTTATCCTTTATTTTCAATTATCAAACAATCAGTTAAGCAGCATATTCTTGCTTTAAAGGTAGGGTAGGTAAGAATGGAGAAACCAGCTTGAGTGCGCTAGAATTTGAAAGTAGCAGCCGAAAAAAATCTGGCCCTTCCTTCAGACTTCCTTACAGAGCCCCTCCTCCAACACACACGGACGCGCACATGACCAATGAGGGCACGAGACAGGCAGGCAGGTAGGCCATCCAGTTATCCGGGCCGGCTCAGATAATTGGTCATGCTTTTTACAGCGCCACGGCTTCCACAGATGAATTTTTTTAATGTATTTATAGTCAAAGCATTTAATGTATTCATTGCTATCGGGATATTAAGAGCATTCCATGGAATATAACAAGTGTTTCTGAAATGAATTACCTATACCCTACCTTTAATAGACTTCAATAAAGGGCAATTTTCTTCCAATGATGTGTAATTTCATTTGATTTATTGTGCTTTTATTTACATTTTTATGTTCTCAATTTGATTTACAAATGTACCTCAAAATGAATCTCTCCTGTACAGGCCACGCTCAATTAACGGTCAGCATTCACAGCAAGGGACAACAAACATATGTACATGCCAGGTACCTTATACACTTAGGCTTGAAAAGTCACAGACTCTGACATAGTCACATGCAGCGCCAGCGCCACTAACAGCAAAGATAATATTTAAGATATTCATAAAATAGATTCGATGGAGGCGGTTGTGTAGGAGCGGTCCACCGTGTCGTAGAAGCGCAGGCAGGCCTTGTAGTGCAGCAGCTTCTCAGCCAGAGGGCTGACTGTCAGGGCTTTACCCCGCACACTCAGGTCTATATACCTGGGGAAAAAATCAGTGAGGGTTAGAATTAAAGTATGATATGCAAAATGTATAATCCAATAGTAACCTGTAGACCACCTTGTAGTGTAGGCAGGTAGTTAGATAATACTGCACCTGTTAGATACACGCCAAAACACAAGGGTATTAACCGCCATCAGTGAGGCCAGGAGGAAGAAGAATCTCTCAAGGTTCCCATCATGCAGTGCGTCTGGGTAGAAGTTACCTGTAAACATGTATCACTGCAGTCATCAGAATCAGTGATATCTAAGGCTAAAAACGTTTTGTTTTTTAGCCAAATTACAGTGCCAATTTATTGGAAGTTTTTATTTTCTCATTTTACCTCCAGAGAGAAAGTACACCAGCTGAACGATTAAGGCTGCCAGGAAGCAGCCCCCTCCATAGGACAGAGTGAGGAAGTGTAAGGAGATCCCTCTGATGTGGCTTGGGGTCAGCTGGAAAGATATTAGGGAGCCTGTGGGAGAGGAAGTGACAGCAGGTACGTTTTGTCATTATTCCCCGCTGTGTATTTATGACAAACAGGGCAGCATTTCTAAACTTTGGAAATTAAACAGAAGATATTTCAGTTAGTTTGTTCTCATTTGATAAAGAGTAAGTTTTAGGCAGGAAGCACCAGCTACAGACAACCTGCATTAAACACTGTTTTAAGGCCTCACTCACATGCAGGGGTGACGAGAGCCTCTGCAAGACCTAGCAGGATGTACTGAGGAGCCAGATGGAAACATGGCATGGACGACACCTGCAGAACTTTCCCAGAGAGGGTCTGCTCCACCAGAGGGTAGGACCTCCGATGCAGCTCAGACAAACCTGCCACCAACACCGACAGAGTGGCACATGCATGGCCCAGAGCTAGAAGGGGAGGATGGACAGGGAGGGGTGATAAGAGAGGGGGCTGCAGAATAAGTATGGGAGGAAAGGGAGGCAGAAGAGCAAGAGAGAGAGACATTAGAATGATATGTCAAAAGTGGAGATGTGCGTGTGTGCACATAGAAATACTCACTGATGACTTTTGCAGGTGCCAGAGGAGTTTTTTCCGCGGAGAGGTAGCAAGTGGTCACACACTCTATGAGTGGGGCCAAGAGCAGCAGAGGGATGATACTGATCACATTCATGGCACCAATGGGCAACAGGTGGCTGGTCAGGTGAAGGTTTGAGTTCATGGTCTGTATGTAGTACCCTGAGGGAATCTGAAGAAAACATTGTCTTAACCTCAATGTATATGGACACAATCCTTTTACATGATTCATAATAAAGCCACATTGTACTCCATGTAACCACCTGTGTGATGCAGGCTCTGTAAAGCAGCTGAAGGCCATACAGAGGGAAGAGCTTGGCTAGGACTTTGACGTTCTCTACATGCGTCTCGCTGTAACGGCCGCCATTGTTCTCCTTGGCCCGGTCCAGCCAAGATCCCACATCTCCGCTCAGGTGACGGTAGTGGAGGCAACACATCTTGAGGGAGTTCAAGAAAACTCCCAGTGTGGTCAATAATGATCCACCTGCAGAACGAAAGACACATGAAGTAATTGAATGAATTGTTAAATTGATTTGATGTGTAACAAGTTATTGTGGTGTTACAAGTAAAATACAAAAAGAGGTGGAACCAACTAACTGCTTTGCAAGTAACAAACAAGTCCAAAGTCATTGTGGAGTCAAGATTTTGAGTTCTAACTTGTCTCTGATCTTATACTGCAATTCATTCTTTCTTAAAAACCATATAATTTCTGTAGGATAGGATATTTTCTTTGGTATCATCAACTGGTGCTCAGTTACGTAACATTCTTAATGACTCTCTCCTGAAATATGATTGGATTCTGTTTGATTGGTTCCAACCAAGTGAATCTTCAGATTCAAGCGTTCGACTTAACTAATAACTTCTAAAGTTTTTTGATTTGTGAAATATTTGGGCTTGTCAGAAGCCCGACAGGTATTTTCAAAAAGTCAAAAGTCAAAAAGCTTAAGTTGAAGTTACAAGACTATGGTGTTAAAGTCCATTCCAAGTTGCAAGATTCTTTTCAAGTAATCAAACTTGTGTCTGACTAAAGTCCATATCTCTGAAAACAAGTAATGTAAGTAGTGTGTCTGAATACTTTAATAATGACATTTTATACACAGTATGTTACCTTTCTTGGGTTTGTAGGTGAGATTGTTCCGCATCATGTGTATGGCGATTAGAGCCAGCAGCACAGAGGTGAAGGGGATAAGGAAGCCCAGATTTTTGGCCACAGACTGCTGGATGTAAGCGATGCCCAGAAACACCACAGTGGAATTCAGGTTGACCAACCAGTAGAACCTGAACAAACGTAAAGCAAATAATACACTCACTTCCTTACTTAATACCTCAATACTACTGTAATTTGAAATTTGTTAGAGGCATTCATGGTCCCCAGAAGATAAATCACACTGACTTTGGCAATCCTCTGACTTAGCCTTTTGCAAAACCATGAAATTGAAATGTACAGTAAGGTGTTTAGTGAACTAAAATAACAGCCATTGAATGGATTCATAGGAAATTTGGAGCAAACATTTATGTTCTTCTTCGAATAAATTGTCTAGTTTTTTAATAACTGGCATGTTTACTCCCCTACAACTCAAGTCCCAATTTCAGGGGCATTATAGTTCGTGTTTTTTCTCCATAATAATACAACAACTTGCATGTCTTATTTCTAAACAGTATAACTTAATTGTAAAGAACTTGACCAGAAATAATTCTTAAATTAAACTGATCACAGTAACAATATCGATGGACAGTTTGGAGTCTTATCATTGGCTAACCAGTTGAATAACTGCATCCAAACAGCACCAGCACCCACCAGTTGAAGAAGGACAGGAGCTGGTGCTGGTTGTAGCACTGCAGGCTGTACGCTCCCATTGGACAGAGGATGGCCCGGATGCCTCCGATGCCCAGAGCAGCAGCCAGGAGGCCGGTGTAGAACAAGATCTGCTGCTCCCGACGTTCCAGCTGGTGCGTCATGTGGTGAGTGTCAATGTAGAAATCTTCGAAGGGGAATGCCACCACAGGCAGCATGGCTGTGCCTAGAAAGCACAGTGACAGGTGAAGGTCACGGCATAGTTGTATTTCAAATAACAGTGTGACTTAACAGAAGCAGTCATGGCTCTGTCTTTTTTACTATCAGCATTTATGGGATTTGGTTGCCTTATTTGGATAATTTGTTTCTCTCCTCAGTGGTATTATGCTTTTAAATATCATTTAATAGATGGATTGTTGTGGGGATTTCTGGCAGAAGGGGGGATTTGGAGGGTATATACATTTAGAGTTTAGAGGTTATATAAACTTCTGATCTTTATATATTAGCTTTTATTACAATAAAGGGCTTCATACTATATATGAAGCCCTAGTGGCTTTCGTTTTCATATTTTTTGAATGGATTATTTATCGATGGTTTTGTGTTCTCTTTAATCTTTTTTCCCGATTTTATTTTCTGTCTTTTCTATTAAGGAAGGAAGGAATAGGGAGGGATGAAACCCTCTTTAATGGTCACACATGCAGAGCACACAGCACACACAGTGAAATTTGGCCTCTGCTTTTAACCCATCCTAGTACAAGGAGTCTAGTACTAGGAGCAGTGGGCAGCTATTGTACAGCGCCCGGGGAGCAATGGGAGTGGGGGGGAAGGGGGGTGTCCGGTGCCTTGCTCAAGGGCACCACGGCAGGGCAGGAGGTGAACTGGGACCTCTCCAAGTAGAAGTCCACACTCCATATTTAGGTCTGGTCGGGGACTTGAACCAGCGACCCTACGGCTCCCAGTCCAAGCCCCTACTGACTGAGCCACTGCCGGACAAGGATTAACCTTGGTTTTATGTCTCGATGGAGCCTCACATCTTGCATTCAACTTGAAAAAGTTGTTTTAAAATATAAGAAAAGTATTGCTCTTCAAAGGAGCTTACTCACTAAAGGTTAAAGGGCCCATGTCATGCTTTTCCGGTTATTACCCGTCCCCTTGTGTGTTATGAAGGTTTTTATGCATGTAAACGGTGTGCAGAGTCATAAACCCTCAAAGTACACCCTGTAGCGAGTAAAACTCTAACACAGAAAATACCTCCCCAAAACGCCTCGTTGGAGATACGTCATTGTCCATTTGATTCTTCCATTTCGTTCCGGGTACGGCATGATGTCAAGCCGTACCCGGAACGAAATGGACCAATCCGTGGAGCCGTTACGTTACGTCCGCGGAGCCGTTACGTTAAGCCCCCGCTGATTGGTCCAAATTGACCAATCCACGGACTTCCTCACACACACATCTGTGTGCAGGGAGCAGGCAGCTCAGCTGATTTCTCCTCCCTGGCTGCAGGCTGATAACAGACAGTTGGGATCGCGGCGAAATTCTCTCTGCAGACCCATTCTCACAGCGTTTATCAACCTTTTTCTTACTCAATATCAAGCCACACTTATTGTTTTTACTTCGGCTGTGACTTTGTGTGTGCTCAGGATGAGTTTGGCTGTGTTTGGCTGTGTATCGCTAACAAGGAAACAACACCTCCACGGAGCTCAGCGCGATTCACAACGTCCCGACCAATCAGAGCACACTGTGCTCACAGGGAGGGTGGGGGCTGAAGCTATTGGAGCTATTGGAGCTACAACGAGCCGTTAAAGGCAGAGAGTGAAATTCAGTGAATACACGTAGTTTACAGAGATGCTGTATGAGAAACCAATGTGAGTTTGGAAAATTGCACAATATAAATCTATTCTAGTAGACCTCAACAATGGAATTATGATCAGTGGAAATGGCCATGACATGGGCCCTTTAAGACTCATAATGAATAATGTGTCAGATATTTATTTTTCAAGTCAAACATACAGATAAATATCCAGTTTTCTTAACTGGCAGATTTCACCCCACACTAAATGGACATCTAATCTTACATTATACGGAAATACTAAACACTGAATACATTTTAATCAAGTCATATCGTTTTATCACAAGTTTTATCACAACAGTAAATCTGATAAACTTAAATTGTGTCTTACCAAAGAAATGTAGGAAGGCACATATGTAGAGCACCTTGGACCTCCCCAGGCAGGTCTCTGCAAACCAGCCAACCAGAACCGGGGTCAGGGTGCTGGCTCCTATGAAGCACAGGTTGACGGTCGCAGCCAGGTAGTTATCATAGCCCAGCTTCACCGTGCAGAAGATAATGGTGTTGCATACAATCCCAAAGAAAGTGAATCTCTCACACAGCTCCACAAGCAGGACACAGATGATAACTTGGAGCTTCTTGCGGGACTTCCTTGGTGGTCCATGTTCTGGACGAGGAGCCCGGTCTGGACGAGGGGCCCTGGAGTGTCGACGCAGTTGGCCTCTGCCATCTGGCAGTTTATTTGGGTCTCCTACCACCATACCACCTGACCAGCGAGCTGGCTGATGGGCTGCTCAGCTAACTAATGAATCTTGCAGAGCTCTGATGAGAGGGAACTCTGCCCTTCGAGGATAGGAGCAGCAGAAGCCAGAGCTGGAATCCCTCACCCTGGTGTGACTCTGGCGACACTTAGGATCAGACACACCTCTTTGCATTCTGCACGTAATGGTGGCTGATGTCCTCCTGTGTCAGGATCTTACTCAGAACTGTGGTTGCCTCACAGTGATCTAACACTTGATTCAACATTGTATTCAAAAGGAGTGTAAGCTGGGAGCAATGTAGAGAGCATCCCAGAAATATTTGTATAATTACTGACAAGATACAGTCATGTGGATGTTGTTTCTGTTAATGACTCATACAGCGCAGTGGTGGAAAGTAACTAAGTGCATACATTCACTTTTACCAGCTGAAGAATTGATGCAGACAACAAAGTATCAAAAATATACCAGTACGACTGAAACAGGTCGTTCTGCATAATGAGTACTTTTATTTTTGAAACTTTAAGTCAACTGTATGCTAATAATTTCAAACCAAGAAATGTTTTGAATGCTTTTAATTGTTACTGAGTGTTTCTAAGATCTGGTATCACTACTTTTACTTAAGTAAAAGATCTGAGGACTTTTCCACCACTGGTACAGATTTACAGTAGCTGTAATCTGTTGGGTCTTGATTTAAATGAAGCAAATGTTGCAAACATAAATATTATTTTGTAATGCAAAAAGTCATAGATTAAATGATCATCAACAATCAACACAGAATGCTTAGTTGCCTTTAGCATCACAACACATAAAAAAGACAACAAATTAATTTAGTGCATCCGACTCGCAAAATGCCACATCTCTATGTGAAAGCAGTACAAGCTCAATTTGAAACGCCTGCTGATAATTAGACTGAAAATGTTAAGTGCTAGTGTGACCGAGTGCACGACCCGGTCAACTTTAACTGGATCAGGGCTGCTGGATCAACAATAACTGCCTGTTTTTGCAGTAGGGAGTAAACATGTTGTCTGACTCAACCAAACAGCACTGGACAGAATAACACTGGAATAATGTTGTTGATTCAAAGACCGTGAAAACCCTACTCCCTTTTAACTGTTTGTTTGAGGGCCAAGAGATATTTGTCTCAACAACAATTGTGTATAAATTAATTGCATTACCAATCGGGTACCAAGCTATTTAGAGATAACCAAAACTGACCAGTATGAAAGAAGGGATAAGTGTGGGATAATGTAAAAAAAATGCAAAGCCTAAAAATGATAAATGTTTGAACCTTATTTCATATATTAGTAGACCCTAGTAGGCTAATTGGCCAATACAATAATTATAGTGGGCCTTTTTTGACATGCCACACTATTTTGAATAAATAATAATAAACAATGTCAATAACACAGACGTATTATTTTTGAGAAAACTATTCTGATGTTAACGACGTTTTAATTACATACTATTTGGTATTATTACTTCATAACCATAGACTGTATATATAAAGTTCATAACTGATGAATAAATAATGTTGTAAAGACAGACGGGTGGTATCCATGGCGTCAGGCTTCACCATGGTTACAGAAGCAGCGTCCAGTTGAGCTTGGGGGCGTGGTGTATCATGGGGGGAAAAGTTGGTTGCAAATCAGTTCCAGCGTTGGGGGAAACGACGAGCAAAGCAGGCTTTTCTTCAAATACACGTAAAAAAGGTAGGTTATAAAATGTTTGCAATGTTGTACAGTTAATAAGAGACCTGCACACATCCTACATGGAGATGGCTAGTTTGAAACTAACCATTAAACGTTCGTAGCACGTTACATAATAAAGCTAATGTTGCTAACCAAAGCTAAAGCTAGCTGTTAGTTTCCTTCGAGTGCTAACGCTACCCCCCCTTTGCTAACCGTAAAAACGACCTGTTGCCATAAGGCTTAGCATAAGCTTGTTTGTTTTGTTTGTGTTATAGGCGCATCCAAAAAGCTGCATAGATCTTTGGCATTAGTTTTCAGACAACACGCTTAACTTATGGAAAACATTATCATGTTTCGACCTTAGATATCGGCTAGCAATGTCTGGCCGGAAGATGCCGAACTTTCCTGCCTCTGCGTCCCAGTGCTTCAGCTCCACCCCTGTCAAAACCATCCAGGGGAAATACCTGAACATATCAAAGGGTTTGGACGACGACGTGCTGTCCGACGAAGAAGACACTTTCTCTCTGCTCTCTCCCATATACCACGACAGTTTCGACAGTGATGAAGACCTGGAGCCCAGCCCGCGGGCTTCCCCCAGGCTGAGCGACTCATCCAGACTCAGCCTTTCACCAGTCAGGTACCGAACAATTATTCAGGCTTAAGATACTTTCGGAACCAAGACCACAGGGTGCATTATAGAGAGACAACATACATTGTACATCTGTTTCTGTTATAGATGTGAGCTACCAAGAACGCCCTCAGTGCAGATGTTGGATACAGCTGTGGAGCCTCTTAGTGCATGGGAAAAGTGGCTGGTTAGCAAAGCAAAAGAAGACCGTTTACATTTAGAAAAACAAGCAGAAGAGGCAAGCAACAGTGAATTACCTTTTATATCAATGTACAAGTGTGTACTTTCCTTATGTTCTTTTGCTAGTCATAACTTTCCTCCTTATTTTCAATGTATTCTTACTCCAAAATATACTTTCTTATTGCATCCGGTCTGAATCTCAACATTTCATGTTCCTTAAAATAGGAGTGGTTAAAAAAGGAAAAGAAAGCACATGAAGAAAGGGAGCTGGAACAGAAAAAGATTGTCATGGAAGAGAGGATCCAAATTTGGCTAAAGATGAAAAGAGAACAGGTATATGACTCATATATACTTTAAACTCATTAAAACACATAAAGCACAATAGTGTTTTGGCTGTAATTGGTACACTATCCAATGCTGACAACATGTCTTTTATTTGTTTTCTCTTTTCAATCTCAGGAGAAGCAAGAGCAACTCCTAAAACTGAGGAAAGAGGAGGAGGAGATACAGAGGCAGCACGAGAAACAGAGGGAGATAGAACAGAAAGCTCAACAAAAATACAAAGACTGGCTACAGAAGAAAAACCAGGAAAAAATTGAAATGGAAAAGAAGGAGAAGGTAATGTGGATATTTGTATGAGATTAATGTAATAAGATTATTCATGAGCAGAAATAGACCGATACTGATACATATATTTATTTTTAATCTTGACAGGAGGAAGCTGCCCTGAAGGAGGAGCAGGAGAAGGAGCGCCGCCAGAGGGCAGAGGAGAAGTTTAAGGACTGGCTGGCAAAAGCTAATGAAAAAACCAAAGCTAGTCCCCAATCACCCTGCTACACGAGAAGTAAGATCATTTCATTCATTTAAACCTCATTCACAAGGCTTTTTAATTTGTGGACTATCTGATACCATAAATAAATACATCTGTAGGAGCAAATATATAAAGCAAATATTATTGTAAATAACTGAATTAATTGTGTGAAAAAGTGATCTAAAAACATTAATGTAAATAACTGAAATGTATTAAAGGTCCCATGTCATGCTTTTCTGGTTATTACCCGTCCCCTTGTGTGTTATATATGCTATGCTGCCCCAGAACGCCTCGTTGGAGATTTTTCTTTTTCCATTTTTTTCTTCCGGGAACCAAGTGACGTAACGACGATCCAAATGGACCAATCCGTGGAACTCCTCACACACACACACTCTCTCAGCCGACAGCGGCGAAACTGTGACGCGCTCGGGGGGGAGGGGTGCTAGTGGAGCCTCGCAGTGGCGAAACTGTGGCGCGCTTACACTGTAGGTGCGCCGCGTTTGGGGGTGCGGGTGCTAGTGGAGCCTTGCAGATGGGGGTGCTGCAGCCCCCTCAGCACCCCCCCTTCCCGCGGCTAGGGTACAAAGGCTGAGTTTCGCGATGTCTCGCTGTCTCGCAGACCCCACGCAGCAACCAAGACTCCTGACTTTTCCTTGTGTTTTTTTTTTTTTTTATATATATATCTGTTGTAATTTATTGTCTTTTATTGTGATTGTAGTAATGTGTTTTTATTACATGTACAGCACTTTGGCTCGACCAAAAATCGCTTTTAAATGTGCTTTATAAATAAAACTTGATTTGATTTGATTAAAAACTTGATTTGAACCAGGAAACGACACCAGTAATAGAGCTCACACTGTCCGCTCCAGCAGCAAGCCCCGCAACGTCCCGCCAACACGGCACCCAGACCCCACGCAGCATTCTCATCTGTTTGTCATTACTGGTGTCATTTTCTGGTTGCTAACGCCATTGTAACACATAAGCACTGATGTTCTGCTGTAACGGTGGTGGACTCATCAGAACAGAGTGGGCGAGCTGACCAATCAGAGCACACTGGGCTCACAGGGAGAGGGGGGCAGGAGCTCCAACAAGCCGTTTAGGACAGAGAGTGAATACACATACTATACAGAGATGCTGTATGAGAAGCCAATGTGATTTTGGAACATTGAACAATGTAAATCTATTCTAGTAGACCTCAACAATGGAATTATGATCAGTAGAAATGGCCATGTCATGGGACCTTTAAGACAGAAATAACCCTGATATGTAAACTGAAAAAACAAACTGACAGTGTTCATTTTTTAAAACCATGTTATAAAATACTATATATAACTTTGTATATATATATAAAGGTATAGCTGTGGTATTCCGTGATACAAAAATATGAAATACATGTTTACTTTAAGCTAATAATTGGATTGGATGTCTATAGAAATGTAACTGTTTTTGAGTTAGTTCCGGACGGGATCAAATGTGATTATATCTTAAGTTTAATTTGCCTAGCTAAAACAAGTATTTTGAATTTGTTATGTATCAGTTCCTTATGACTTTGATTTATTTTAGGTCCATATGAGAAATACCTCCCGTCACCAGGCTTCTACAATCCAATCCCCTGGAAGCCGATTCACGTCCCTCCTGTGGAGAAAGAACTGAATAACACATCTGGCAAGAAACCTCAGAAACAACAGAGGAGCCAACAAAGCTCCGGCAGCGCTCTGAGACTGAGGAACTCTGCGAGTGCCACCCAGGTGCTGCAGAGGAGATGACACAGCTGACACGTGTGTGACTGATACGGCTGCTCTGTTACTGCTTAAATATGATTCATCAACCACAACAGCTCCTGAACTGAGACTGCTGAATCACAGAAGTATTTCTGTTCACTTATATGGATGTGGTATTTAAGCTTCCATATCTAGATTTGGATTTGTTGTATTGTTGAACACTGGACAATATTGTAATAATGCACCAGCTCATATTAGATTGTTTGTAAGGATGTGTCTTGGGGATTGTTATGATTTTACAAATATGTTTAGAATTTATTCTGATACTGCACCCAGCTTTTATACCATATTAATTGCGCGTGTACATAGCATTATGGCTGGACATTTAAACAATGGAGTTTATTTTGTTGTATCCTGTCGATAAAAGAGGCTTTATCAAAGTAATTTTTTCACTGTTGTCTTATTTGTGCCATCACGAAATGGTCAACAAAACCACATTCATTGCATCTAATCAGGCATCAACCACACTACGGAAAGGAGGTGGCTGGTGGTCACAGCCAAAGATAGACCCAGCTTGGTCAAGTGCCCCTCACACTCACACATTGTCCTGTGTCCAGCTGTGCCTTGTTCTTCTGTGGGCTGAGATGACGACAGAACAAGAGAGGGGGTGGAGAGAGAGAGAGACTGATTCAGAGCTGAATGCTCATTCTGTGTTAACATCTCACTGTGATACCAATGTGTGCAGCCTGAGGTAAAAACATTTCAATTACACTTTTAGTTAGATAATCCTGTCTTTAAATACATCATTTCTAAGTGCCTGTCGTGTTTTGTTCCTGCTCGTGCTACGCTTAGCTCTCTGTTGTGGAGTGCTGTGGAATGTGTTAGTTGACAGCAGTCAGCCGGGGGGCTCATAGTTTAGGCGATTTTAAAGGTACAAAAACATTCTGTGGTCCAAAGGACAGCTGTTAAGACGAATGTCAAGTTTTTACATTACGTTAAGTTGCAGAAGTAGTTTAAGCTGTTTGCTTTGGGGTATTTGCACACTGAGCCAGCACTTTGTAGTCTGTGTAACTTTTACTCTAAACTAAATGTCATAACTAGTTTGTAACAAATCCAACTAGATCTCAATATTTTTAAATCCATCTAAAATCTATTTATGCTTAACCAGTGCTTTTTGTAATGAACAATATTTCAGGTCACTTAACTTTATTTTTTGCCTCTTTCAGGTATTGCGTCCTATTACAGAGCGTGAAAAGAAAACCCATATCCCAAGATGCAGTGGTGCAGGTGGGCTGGCAGTTGGAGGTCACACCTACCAAGACAGGTAGGAGGCGGGTCTATGTGTCAGAATTGAAGTGG